AGAAGTCTTTTAGTCTTTTCTTCATTTCATCAGCTGCTTCCCAACTTCTTTTTGGAATTGAGCAACATATTGTAACTGTAAGCAGCACTCATGTTTTTAACAGAAATCTAGACAAGGCAATACATTCATAGAAAACATACACACAGGAAAACATCTGAAATCACTTGGCAATATGTATAATAAATCTAACATATTCTACGTGTAAACCTAAGAATTTAATTTAAACACAACAACCTTTAAAAAAAAAAAGCTTCTACTTCCATACATTCATAAAGTGAAGAACAGTGTTTGAAACATCACAACAGCATGACTCTCAATCCTGGTGTTGAGATAAAGATGATGTGCAACCAACCACCTCAAAGGGAAACTGTGAAACGCCACTACCACAATCACCAACGCCACCTCCTCTAAGTGCTCTTTCAGTTTAATTACAAAAATAGATATATTTAACTCTCACAAGAGAGTAAGGGAGTCCATGGATGAAGCCATGACTGTCTTATAACCAAAGACCCTTGTAAAATTTTTCACCAAAATTGTAATTCTCTGCTGTGACATACTGACCGTTTGAATAATGTAAAGCCATAGCCCACTAACATGAGTTAGGTTGCTTTAGGTCCCCCAAACTCTCTAGAATTACTAAGAAGGATGAACGTTAGCAAGATATCAGCAAGACAGAACAGCAGTGAAGTGTGGATATGGCTGTGTAGAAAAAGCACTAGATTTGGAATCTTAAGGCTGGGGTTTTTTAACCAACACCTCTATACCAGGATTTGAAAAGTCATTTAATACAACTGAGCCTCCATTTCTCTAGGTATAAAATAAGTAAGGTTGTTGAAATCATCTTTAGGATCCTTTTCAGTTACAAAAACCTTCCATTTTTAATAATATATGTTTATTTTTGAATAGTACTTTTATTTAGATCCAAAAAAAGATAAAAATAGTATTGTTACACGTCATGTCTACCTTCATCCCTTATGCCATGCTCCCCACTGCTGTCACCCATACCCCAAACACCAGCAGTTATTCTCATTAGCTTCTTATGTAACTACAGAAATATGAGCACATGTTAATATATACTGTCTTGGTTCTTCTCTAACATAGCAGGTGTCATACGATACCTACTATACCATCGAGATACTACTGTCTATCTCTGAGAGCCTTCCACATCAGTTCAGAGACTTCCCTCATTCTTTTCAACAGTGGCACAGATTTCATTAGATGGATCTCCAAAGTCTACTTAACCAATATCCTACTGATAAATACTTGAATTTTTTTCACTCTTCAGCTATTATAAATAACGCTGCAAAAAATAAACTTTAATGCAGATGATCTCTACGTTATAACTTAAGGAGAAATTTCCAGAAGTGGAATTACTGAGTCACTGGGAAAATGCATCTAAAAGTTTAATGAAATCTGCCAAACTACCTTCCACATAGCTTGCACTTTTCTGCACTCCCAACGGCACTGTCTTAAAAATCTTTATTCCCCCAACTTCTCACTATATTGTGTGCACTTCTGAGCTTATTTCTTGTCCACATCCCTGTAAGTTGCTTGTCTTTTTCTTACTGGTTTACAAGTAAAAATTCTATTTCAAGAAAACATTCCTGAACTAATAATATTTACCACATTCTTGAATAATATTTGGCTGTGTCTCCACCAAAATCTCACCTTGAATTGTAACTCCCACAATTCCCACATGTCATGGGGGGAACCTGGTGGGAGGTAATTGAATCACGGGACAAGTCTTTCCCATGCTGTTCTCATAATAGTAAATAAGTCTCATAAGATCTGATGGTTTTAAAAACAGGAGTTTCCCCACATATGCTCTCTTTTTGCTTGCAGCTATCCATGTGAGATGTGGTATTCCACCATGATTTTGAGGCTAACCCAGCCACATGGAACTGTAATCCATTAAACCGCTTCTCCTATGTAAATTACCCAGTCTCAGGTATGACTACATCAGCAGCATGAAAACAGACTAATACACTGAACTAATGATATTTACTGCTTACTGAATGCTTTAATGGTTTAAAAAGAGGTATAGTTTCTCACTGGAAGGTATTAGCCACCATCACTCAATATTCTACTGATGTGTAGTAAGTATTTGTATATAATATCCATGAAGAAACATTCTTTTGAGTTTTTGAAAAGACAATTTCACTTTCAATAAGAGAAAGGAATGGTTTGGAAGAATGCATGAAGATAATTCCACCTCACCAAGTATCACAAATACTTGGATAAAAGAGAAGAAATGACCATCATAACTAAATATTAAGTATAAAAAAGCTTAAAATATAAAAATACTTAATTTTATCTCTTTGTACAGTCCTTTCATTGCATGTTTAAGAGTTCAATTATATTAATGCAAAACAATTTTACTTAGTATCATATTTTATCACAATTTTACTTAATATCACTTAATATCATAAAATTCAAGTATCCAAATAGATACATCCATTTTCCTAGTGAACTTCTAAGCTATGTCAATGATCTTTTTATGTAATTCATAGAAAATGTATTTTAAAATTCTGAAAACACTGACAAGTATGAAACCTCTGCCATAATGGAGTGATCAAGCAGCTAAAATGCTGATATAAATACTTTTCCTTTTCTTCACTCTGTGAGGAAATATTCAGCCATTAAAAAAATTCTTAAATGTAAATAGATCCTAATACTATGGAGGAATTAGAAGTCTAACCAAGTAGCATTTATATATCTAAAAAAAGTTTTCCTTCAATGACACAGGACCCATTCTCCACATACACTTCCATGAGACAAGTCCAAAGGAAGCAAAAGAAGACGGCCCACAGGGCGTTCAAACTCTACAGGACCTGCGGCTAATTCCACAGCAGGGAAGGACTTCTCACCTACGACCAATAGGTGGTTGAATACATGACTCCTGCAAGGCCATAACAGAGGGATGAGAATCCTTTGACTTTTATCATTGTAACTCTGCTGGTCACCTGAGGACTCCCACAGATGTCTCCACTGGACAGTCTTGAAAAAGTAAGTGGTGACGCGGCTCAGGATGCAAAGCCAGTGTGTACCGACAGAGAAACAAACACCAAGGCTTCCGAAGTCCTCAATGCTACCATGGGACACAGTTCCAGGACCCAAGCTCTGCCTGCAGACCTACAATCCAAGTGACCTTCGGCAAGTTATGCAAGCTTTCTGTGACTCAGGTTCTTCATGCTTCGCTTTGAGGAGCGAATGAATTAGGCATTAAAAACAGTAAGTGGTAAACAGTGTAACAGTTCTGTGGAAGTTCACTGTGTACCATTAGGCCGAATTCCACGACTACACAACTTTAACCCAAGCAGTCAACAGTTGAAATGGAAATATTCAAAAGCATCTCCTCTGTAAGGACAAATACAGGGGAAAATGAAGATGAAAGCCCGGCAGAATATAGTTATAGTGAAGTTAAGCAGGCACGGCACCATTAAATGATGCAAATAGCACAACGAGGCCACCAGGCAAGGTGGAACTTCACCTGTATGGGAACTGGATGATTTTCCCAGTAGGGTTAATGCCCCAAGCAATCCAATCCCTGACAATCTGGAAAGGTTAGTACGAAACCCCTTATTATTTCAGGTTTTCTGTTAAAATCTTCCCCAATAAGTTTACTTATTAATCTAATCTTTTTCTAATTTTCTTTTTTTTTTTTTTTTTTTTTTTGAGACAGAGTCTCACTCTATTGCCAGGCTAGAGTGCAGTGGTGCAATCCCGGCTCACTGTAACTTCCGTTTTCAGGTTTCAAGCAATTCTCCTGCCTCAGCCTCCCAAGAAGCTGGGACTACAGGCATGTACCACCATGCCCGGTTAATTTTTTGTATTTTTAGTAGAAATGAGGTTTCACCACGTTGCCCAGGATGGTCTCGATTCTTGACTTTAAGATCCATCCACCTTGGCCTCCCAAAGTGCTGGGATTACAGATGTGAGCCACCGTGCCCAGCCTCTTCTTACTATACCTTTAATATTCTTCTCTTAGTCTCACCTCTCATCTTCTTCTTTTCTTTTCTTTCTTTCTTTTTCTTTCTTTCTTTTGAGATGGAGTCTCTCTCTGTTGCCCAGGCCGGAGTGCAGTGGCACGATCTCAGCTCACTGCAACTTCTGCCTCCCGGGTTCAAGCAATTCTCCTGTTTCAGTCTCCTAAGTAGCTGGGATTATAGGCACCCACCACCACGCCCAGCTAATTTTTGTATTTTTTTTTTTTTTAGTAGAAATGGGGTTTCACCTGTTGGCCAGGATGGTCTCGAATTCCTAACCTCATGATCCACCCGCCTTGGCCTCTCAAAGTGCTGAGATTACAGGTTTGAGCCACCATGCCTGGCCCTCACCTCTCATCTTACTGCTTTCTTCCTGAATAAACCTTAAGCCTATAGGGTACAACAAACCACACTGGTTACCTCAAAGAGTAGTACTCACTCATGATGTGGTTCTTGAATCCCAATTTAAAATTATTTTAATGCATCCTGGCTCCCAACGTAATTATTTTAAAGTATTATAGCATCTAATTGTTGGATATCTGAAAGCAAATTGACTCTGGGGAAAGCTTTGCTTACTGGAAATAAAAACTCTAAAGAAATACTTCACTAACATTGTGCTACATTTGTAAAACCACTTCTCAGACACTTTTCAAGTGTTTGACCTCAATCAGCCAGCAATGCTGCACCCTCTATGCCTGAACAGCAGCAACACCCCTGCCAATAATGCAGCAACTAATAGGGAAACTCCCATGGACAGAAGTGAGAAGCCCAAGGCCGCCCGCCCAGCTGAGGGATGGAGCTATAACTGACACCTGTGTGAAGCTGAAGAACATCCTATTTCTGCTATGTCTAAACCCTTTACAAAGCCAGCCTCCCCAGATTAATACCCTGTTTCCACTATGTCTAAACCCTTTACAAAACCAGCCTCCCCAGATTAACACAGGAATTACCTCAATGACAATCAGACACCCTCCTGAATCACCCAGACCCCGCATGCCTTCACAGAACACAAACCTTTGGGAGGAGTAAGGCTGACTCCGTTTTTAAGGCACCACTGTACTGGCAAAATCCCCAAAGAATCTGCATGGCACAGCACTGAAACTTGGCTTGGTTCAGGTCTTAGGTCATCAATAGTCACTTGAAAAAAGTGATTGTTAAAAACCTAAAAGAAAAAAAAAAAAAGCAGGGGGGAACCAAAGGTTAATTCTTAGGCGTTACATATAATGCTAGTATAAAATACTGGCAGAGCTTCCAAAGGCAATTAATGTATTTCATCAAAATGATTTGAATACAAACTGGCATTTTCAATGTCTAAATTAATTCAGCTGATAAAAAGTTAGAATTGACCACTATGGTCCTATTATTGGAAAAATAAATATAGGATATATGGAAGTATGAGAATGAGCAAAATCAAAGACTCAGAGAATTAACCAATGGCCATAGCTTGAAGAAAAATGAACAGAGGAAGTCAGACAGGTAAACCCCAGCTTAGACAACAGCCAAGACAGGAACTGAAAAGTGAAATCGTTTATGACTGTCCATAGCCAGGATCAAACTCTTTATACCTGATTATTCAAGAATCTCCAAGGTCTGGCTTGGGGCTTTCTAGACTTATCCTACACCATATCCCTCAGAAAAACCAGAGAAGAAATCATTTACACTAAGCCTCACAGGCTACAACACCCCCAGTGCCATGTTTAAGCTATCAAAACATAGTGCATTTTCAAGGTATGTCTCATATTTCAATGCTGCTGACCTGGTTGGAATAAACAGCCCTACAACACCCCCAGTGCCATGTTTAAGCTATCAAAACACAGTGCATTTCCAAGGTGCGTCTCCTATTTCAATGCTGCTGATATGGTTGGAATAAACAGCCCTCACTCTGTGCTCCTAAAATTTCAGACTTCAACTTCTGTATTGAAAACTGTCATTCCTTCCTGGACTGATAACACATAGTCTTCCAATGCAATAGAGCTTAAGTTATTAGAGGACAATGATATCTTTTTTATGAACACAAGTATCCCCAAATGCATATAAAATGCTTTCTATGTAGGAACTGGATAAATGATCACAGAGTATAAGAAGAAACATCAATGACGAAATAAGAGCCAGACGTGCAGATAAGCAAAGCAGAGGGCAAAACCCAGATGGACCATCACTGAAAAGTGTGACAGATTTAAATAATGTAGTATCTAAAACAGGGCAGAAAAGAAGATCCCTTTCCCAACTCAACAGACATAACCCAGTCTTCCTTAGGAAACCCTGAGAATTTTAGGGAGTCATGATTCCTGGTTCCTTTAGGTTTTTTTCTGGAAGCAATTTAGGTCAAAGTGAAGCAAGAGAGGAAACTCTCTTCTGTTCTTCTCTGTGCTAATTCTGGTAAACAGTGTACTGAAAGATTTGCCTGTGAAAGTCAACTTCAAGGAACAAAGGATCAGATGGGGGCCTTCCCAGTGAGGTCATCTCTGAGAACCCTGTTAAGAATCCCATTCTCCTTCCACCTGAAACCTGCAAGATTGTATTAAAGGATTATGAAAATCCTTCAACTTTTGTCATTTTCACTCTTCTGGGCACCTGCAGACTGCCACAGGCATCTCTACTGGACAGTCTTGAAAACTGAAGCATGACGATTTGGCTCAGGGTGCAAAGCCAGTGTGGACCAACAGCGGAACAAATACCAAAGCCTCCTGGAATTCTCACTGCTACTGGGGGCACAGTCCCAGGACCCCAATATCCCTGCCCTGTGCATTTTTCTCCTTAGTCCATTTAATATGTAACATTCTGTATTTACCTACTTATTAATTCTGTTTATAGTCTGTCTCCCTCGATTAAAATATAAGCTCCACAATGGGAACGTTGTCCAGAATGGAGCCTATGAATGCTTAGTATCTGTTAAATTACTGTTATTTAGTCTATATCACATACATACACATACTCGCACACATACATATATAAAGAGCATGTGTTTTGGTGGAGCCACAGTATCTTGTAAAGAAGGGCACTAAGAATTTCCATAACCATTAAGGTTCATGCTCATGTGGGAACACTTCAAAGGAAAAGTTTAGTAGGTTTCATCAAATCCATCAGGGCTCATGTTCCTAAATGATCTGAAGCACTGTTTTGTGCTCTATCCAGTCCAGAACCCACAGGACTCAGAACTAAAGCCCAGAGTAGTTAACTGGCTTATCCAAGACTGTACAGCAAAGAGTTGGCAGAAACAGAAACAGAACCCAAGACTTCTAATTCAGTATCCTAGTCAATACAACACACTTCGCTTACTTACACCAGATGATATCATCACCATCTGCCAGTATCTCAACACCAAAAACACACCCCCGCTGGATGTCTGGAGGTTCATCATTTAATACTGGATCCACTATACGCCTGTCTGAATCCTTGTCTGTTTGTGGAAACATTATTTATGTATTTCTTCAACAGTTATGCCACCAAGTAGAGGCCCATGGTGGAAAAAAATGAAATTTTCATTGTGATGAGTAATGACAGCAGAGTATATTTTCAAGCGTAATATTCCAAAATACTTTCCCGTATTTAGAGAAATACATTTAATTATAAATATCTTCTACACTAAGAGTATTCTGATACATCATTACATGAAGATGAGTCTTGAACCTGGGGAGGTGTCTACCTAGGTTCTAAAAGACAGATGCACACATCCCAGTCCATGCATTATACGATACATGGTCAATAAGAGAAGGAGTGTGCAGGAAACAGCATGACTCATTTTATGTTTGCTACAAAGGGTAAGAAAAAGCAAAACAAAAAGGAAAACACAGTTTAGAAATCAGTAAAAATACCTTCTCGCTCCCCACAATAAGATTTACTTAGAGAAAATTATTTACTGTGGAAAACCAACTATCACTGGAAGTCTACCCAACTGGATAAAGACATTTGGGTTGAAACTAATTTTGATGAGTAGACACATTCTAACATTACATATTACAGCTATTTAAAGTCATAAGAACGTAAGAGAGGCTATGCACATTGACTCTGTTGAGTTTAATTGATAAGTACCAGGTGAGGTGACCCTGCGGCAGACAGAGGGGCAGCGGGCATGCCTGCAGCATCCACTGCCAGAACAAAGGGGAATTCTGGACAGGATTCAACAGGGCACCATGTATCCATTTTGGAAAAATATCTGACAACTAGCAGGATACACAGTCAAGAACCCCAAGGGTCATTTCAAATAAAAAGGTTTTTAATAGATGCTAGATAATCAGGAATACATGACTTTTGATCTCCAGATTATAAAGTAAAAGCCAATATATATTCCTTTAAATAAAGTACCTTAAATATTTAAAGTTATCTTTTTTTTTTTTTTTTTTTTTTTGAGATGGAGTTTTGCTCTGCTGCCCAGGCTGGAGTACAGTGGCAAGATCTCAGCTCCCTACAACCTCTGCCTCCCAGGTTCAAGCAATTCTCCTGCCTCAGCCTCCCAGTAGCTGGGATTACAGGAGTGTGCCACCATGCCTGGCAAATTTCTGTATTTTTAGCAGAGACAGGTTTTCATCATGTTGGCCAGGCTGGTCTCAAACTCGTGACCTCAAGTGAGTGATCCTCCCACCTCAGCCTCCCAAAGTGCCAGGATTACAGGAATGAGCTACCGTGCCTAGCCCTTAAAGTTATCCTTAAAGATATATATACTTTAATGGTTATAAAAATAATTTATGTCCACTAAAGAAAAAACAGTTAGAAAGCATTTCATTCTTATAACCAATTTCCATATTCTGTAATACACTATCACTACTAAATTTCTCAAGTGTTAGCAAATCATAAATTTTTAAAAACTCAGGACTCAAATAACATTAAAACACTAATCACTGCATGAAAAGGGATTTTCCTTAAAGAAAATCCCATTTTCTTAAGAAAAAGAAATTAAAATAGAATTGACTTTTGAATCTTTAATTAAATTATCCTACTGAAGTACACAAAAGACCATTCACCAAAACACACATTGATCACGAATGCTGTTTCCCTCACCATTCACAAGAGAATCCTTAAGGTAGAAACAAGCAATTTCGATTTTACCAGAGGTTATGTCGTTAAAATTTCTTTAATGGGGAATGGATATTATACTCTTTAAAAAAAAATTATTGTTTTGTAGAGACAGGGTCTCCCTATGTTACCCAGGCTGGTTTTGAACTCCTGGGCTCAAGTGATCCTTCTACCTTAGTCTCCCAAAGTGCTGGGATTACAGATGTGAGCCACCATGCCACAACAGGATATCGCCATCTTCAAAGATTAACAGATCATTATAAAAATGCCTTTATGTTAAAAAGTAACTTAGTTTTGAATCTGGAATGAGTTTTTCTTTAGTCAACGAGGGCAGATGAGAAAAAGAACATAGAAAAGCTAAAACATGGGAGGTGAGAATTTGCTTTGCACCATTTTCATGTATTTTCCAAGTATAAACAGCTCATATTTACTACTACCACTGCAGGAATAACAAATTACCCTTGTAATGATTACGACATGCAACTTGTCAGTGGACAACTAGCAGAAGACAAGGAAAATTCGCCCTATCCGTGATAAGAGGGGGTATCTGATTAGAGTCACTCTGTGCCACCAGTAATAAAAAGAGCTGAAAGCCGTGCTGGACCAGAGGGGCGGCAATCTTCCTTAGCTTCCCCTGGCAGTGCTGATAGCCTTGCACGAATATATTTCATCTGGTGGTCTTTGAGTGGAAAGACTTAATTTGATCCACTCCAGGGGCTGCGTCGAAGAGTGAGGCAGGAAAACCTACCTTAGTCACTGATGCAGGAGAGATGTAAAAGGGCTCGCTCATATTCACTGTCTCAAGCTTCATCCCAACTGTGAAGAAATGGCTTCGCAAATCTGCGTGATCCTGCAGAGAGAAAGATGAAAATACTGAAAGCCACGGTCCTGTAAATGACCTCAGCCACTGTCCGTATGCACTCCAGGAGCATTTTATTGGGCAACTGAAATCTGATGGAAACAATTCACCCTCTCTGTTTCAAACTTCTAATTATTGCAAGATACCACAGATCTAATTATTTTCTGCAGGCTATATTGCTTTTCCAAGGGAGAGGCCACAAGGCTTTGTGGCCATGCTTAAATTTACACTAAGCAAAAATTCACATTACATGGCTTTGATCTTCCTAGGTGCTATCAACTGAAGCACAGCACAGTACGGGCGGCAGTCCGTCATCCTAATGTGGCAGTGTCTTCAGAAAACGAGGCCTCTTACTACTGGAGTCACATCACATGGCTTCAGTCAGTACCCTGTACCCAGGTCCGCCCCCACCTTCCGTGTGTAAGAGCACACGCTTACCAGTTACTGGGAGTAAGCTGGCACACAGCTTATCAGTATGAGGATGGGTAGGGGTACTCAAGGTTTCATGATCTTAAGAGATGCCTGCAAGTGAGAATCCAAACCCGCCCCACAGACAATCAGAACCTGACTCCTACTCAATAAAAGTGAGCAACACCCCCTTCCTAACAGGGATCTGGCAGTTTTATAACCTGCTCAAAGCAACCTTATATGAGAGAGATGGGGCTTTCCTGCCTTAAAAAAAAAAAACAAACAAACAAATGTCAATGTCTACTTCAGCTGCAAAGCAATAGAGGAGGTTGGCTGGACTCCGGATACCAGCATTCATCTTGCAGGGATGGAAGTCACCTCGTAACTCACGGTCGGGAAAAATAGCGGTGGACAAATAAATGTATTTCCAGTCGGTCCCTAAGGAAATAATAGCTGCAAATAAATCCTGTGATTTCCAAATACATCAACTGGGTGTGAAGTACAAAAATATCTGGAGACCTGTTACCGTCTTTTATCTGTGACTCTGAAGTGGGTTTTTAATTACTTCCATGATGTCACTCTATACCCAACTCTGAGGACTGCACAGAGCCTGGTCGGGCAGTGCCTGTTCTTCCACAGCCCCCAAAGCTGGTCAGTACCATCAGTGTCCACCAGGAGATCAGACTAGAAGAACTACTTATGCAGCTCTCCACCAGGACACCGAGTGGCCAAGGTAATAGAATGTAAACGCCTATAGAACTGCAAGGACCCTTTTGTTTTTCACGTCCCCAGGGCAGTCTGCAAAGGTCTCTGTATGAGGGAATGCACGATGAATGCTGGGTCTGGGTGAAGTGAGCAGTGCCATGTCCAAAGAAGACATTAATCAGAACAAGAAAGGATGCGGTCCAATCCGACAAAACCTAATCAAAGAAAATGGTCACTTTAAACACTTAGAAACTTAGAAATTCCTTACGAACTTACAATCAACACTTTATAAGAGTTATATGCATAAGGAAAAGCACAAGGAAATAGGCACAGGTGATGATTTGCATGGTTTATGTTGCAAAAAAGCATTTAATTTATTTACTTTTAGCTTTTATTTATTTTTTTGAGATGGAGCTCCACTCTTGTTGCCCAGGCTAGAGTGCAATGGTGCAATCTCAGCTCACTGCAACGTCCACCTCCCAGGTTCAAGCGATTCTCCTGCCTCAGCCTCCAGAACAGCTGGGCACCTAGGTTGATTCCATGTCTTTGCAATAGCGCCGCAATGAACCTGTGAGCGCATGTGTATTTTTGATAGAATGATCTGTTTTCCTTTGGGGATGCCACCACTGATGAGATTGTTGGGTCAAATGGTAGCTGTTTTAGGTTCTTCGAGAAATCTCAGAACTGCTTTCACAGTGAGTGAACTAATTGACACTCCCACCAGCAGTGTGTAAGTGTTCCCTGTTCTCCACAGCCTCTTCAGCATCTGTTGTCTTTTTGACTTTTTAATAACAGCCATCCTTACTGGTGTGAGAGGGCATCTCATTGTGGTTTTGATTTCAAAGCATTTATTTTTAAAGGTGGCTGGGGGAAGGCAAATCAGGAAAGAAAAGGAACTGAAGGCTCCTGTACAGAGAGCAAATATGGATCAACACACACCAGCCGTCACGCCCAGGCAGGGCCAGTAGCCACAGGCGAGGAGACATCACAACCAAACCAACACTGACTTGCTGACTTTGGAACTAAAAGATTCCAAGTGAATTTGAGTGCTTCTAGCACAAAGAAAAGACAAATATTTAAGGTGCTCGGTATCTCAATTACCCTGATTTGATCTTTACAAATTATATGAATGTATTTGACAATCACTTGTACCCCAAAGTATGTACATCTATTACATACCAGTAAAAAAATTTAAACATTAAAAAAAAAGATGACAAGTGAATGCTCCTGTCAGGCAGCCATGCCACCAGTACCCATCAGCAGGAAACTGAGTCCCAATCATGGCTTCTGCAGGTAAATATCCTTCCCCATTTAAGTACAAACCACTTTCGTCTTTGGAAAAGGGGAATTATTATAAAATGATCAGAGAATAAAACATCGCCTGAATGTACTCGGCAAGTCTAAGCAGTCATTATCACGCTGTTTGACAACTCACAGGTGCCCTCAGTCACTCCCAGCACATTCGTCACTATAATGGTTAAACATAAACAGTGAATGTCAGTGTTTCTCAGGAGCCTCCCTCTCTGTGCAGGACCCCCTTCCTCCTGCAGCCTGCCCCCCAGCAGCCACAGCCACTGTTCATTGCATCCCGAATGGTACCCTTTACAAGAAACAGGCCGAGGTATTCCTGAGGTCTGGTGTGCGGGGGCAGGCATGGGTCTTCTCCCAGGCTGCCTCTATCACCACGGCCCTCCTCAGAGTCCCTGCTGTAGGGCGTCCTGACAGCCATGGGGCCTCTGGTCTACCTGCTCTCTTCATTCCTTCCATTGCAGATTCTGTGCTTCTCTCTGCTCTACAGAGCTCTTGCTCCAACCTTTGTTCTCTGAGTAGAGTCAGCTTTCTAAGCAGGGTTTACCCACAACCCTAAGCCCTTTCTACATCCAAAGGCTCTCAATCTGACCTTGACCACTGACTTGGAGTCTTTAGCCAAATGCATACCCATCCTTCACCCCATACTCCAAGCCCTATGGGAGGGTCTGTCAATCATAGCTCCTGGTGCTATGCGGAAACTCTGTGGCCCCAGGAGGCCTGCCCTCTCTGCTGACTTCCTGTGTTCACAGTCATCTAGCAGACCAGGCAGTGGTTTCTTCTCCTCGGAAATATAGTAGACAGCAATGGGTCCCCGAGATAACCCTGTCCATTCAGGGCTGCGGACTGTATTGCAAATGGTTATGGGTAATGACTTCAGCATCCTCTGCATCTAATTACATCTCTAGCTTAAGAGAGGATCACTTCTGCTTCCTGCACACAACACACAATCTCTTCCTTTGCTCCTGAGTGTCCTGTGCTCCGATGTCCATCATTAAACTCTCCATCTTTGCTCATCTATAACAATGAATATAAACATCAAAACCACGAATGGTCAGATGCAGGATAAAAATAAAAATAACATGACATGAAAATATTCTTAGCCTAAGAATAATGCTCAGTGAGCATTATTCCAAAAATTTTAGAACTAGTTTCCCCTCTGCCAGTCTTGGCTCAGATCTCCTACAAGTTAAATTATTTCTCCTAGGTTTCAGCTGTGTGGTAAATATATATGGGTCTTTGTCCCTGGTACAGGACTCCTAAATACTATGGGATTTCCCAGGTGACAGGAGCTCTTTTGTTCTAATGGGTCCATTCTTGGTGGGTCCCTAAACAGCTTCAGGATGGGGTCTCATGTCTGGAAAGCCCAAGGCATGATTAGGGAGGGCTGTAAGTTCATTTCCACCCCCACAAACACTGGGGAGGGGAGAAGAGCTGGATATGGACCTTATCACCAATGGCCAAAGATTTAATCAATCGTGCCTACATAATGAAACTTCCATGAACACCATAAATGACAGAGTTGGGGGTTTTCCAGTTGAATACTTTCACATGCCAGCAGGTGGGGGCACCCCAACTCCAGAGGGCAGGGAGCTCCTGTGCCTGGGGCCCCCTTCCACCCTTCTCCCCTGGGCACCTCTTCCATCTGGCTATTCATTTGCATCCTGTATGTTAACCTTTACAACAAACAGGTAATAGGAAACTGCTCTGTGAGCCATTCTGGACAACTACCAAATCCAAAGAGGAAGTTTGAGGAACCCTAATTTATAGCCATCAAATACAGGAAGCCCAGGACTTGTGACTGGCATCAATGTGGAGGCATCTGGTGGTACTGAGCCCTTCACTTGTGGGGTCTGCACTGCTTTCAGACAGTGTCAAAAATAAATTAAATTGCAGGATATTCACCTGCTGTCCAGAGAGCTGAAGAACTGGTTGATGTGGAAAAACCCACACACATGATGTCAGAAGTGTTGTGGGTAAAAACAGTTAATAAGTTACAGTCAACACACTTCTTACTCATGGAAATGCATCTGTTTTTCTTTTCAAACTATACAAAACCCCCTAAACTCTCTTGTTTCATATACTTGGAAAAAGGAAGCCAGATATTCTGAGAAGTTGCAGCATCCAAATACAGGTTATTTATAGTCTGGCCTCAAATATCCACATATCTTATCCTATTAAATTCCAACCCTGTATTTCAGAAATAAATTTGGATCCTGTATCTTCCAGCCCTCACTTTCACTTTCTGAAAATCACTTTCTAATCAACACCCCCTCCCCCCAAAAAAATCCCTCTATGACCAGGTAGAAATCCCAGCAGTTTCAAAGCTAAGTCAATGTATCATTATGATCACGGTAGTCAAAGGATTTATAAGGGTAAAGCTTAATTTGGAAGATGAAAATCATGTGACTCAGAATGGCAAAAGATTCTGGGAAGGTGGCACAGTGACTTTATGCAGGAAGACTGGGCTCTGGATACGGGATGGAAGCATTTAAATAGGATCTAAAAGGCAAAAGAAGTCATTTGACACTCCTAAGGAATAACAAGTTTTTATGATAATTGAATTCAAC